GTTCCTGAGCCACACTTAGAAGTTCCTGCTTAGGAAGCTGTGTTATAGCAGGCCAGACTGTTTGTCCATTTCAACTGCCTATTTTGGTCAGTGCTAGTTTTCTAGTGAGATCTAAGACAGAAGCTTTACTCAAAACCTGCTATAAAACCTGAACTGAAGATGTCACAAGCTGAACCAGGTATCTCCAGCATGCGAGTTAAAACTGAGGTACGTTCCCCCACCCCTAGCAGTGTGGAACGGCTATTCAAAAATGTAGATACAGCAGGATTACATCCTCTTCTTACTTGAAGTTGTTCATCCAAAATATTTACTTCTTGGCCCCATATTCAGAGTCCAGTCTTTTTGGATTTATTATATTCCTAGCCTAGATATGTAATGAAGACACAATGATAGCAGCTTGGGCATACACAATGAGACTGAGTAAATTGATGATTTAAGAGTCAAAAGAAAAAGAATACAAAGGCTAAAGACCTTTCTTTCAGTCCTAACACCCTCACAGGTGCATTTGGTTGAGACCAACGTGCCCTCAAATTTTCAGCCCCTTTCTCTCCCCCCCTCGGTCTGGAACCAAAGGGCTGAATGTGTAGGAGGGGGCAGAGACGTGTGCACCTTACAGGGAACCTTTGTGGGGACACAGGAAAAGGCCTTCTCTGTTGCTCCTCCCAGACTCTGGAACTCCCTCCCACAGGAAGCCAGGCTGGCCCCATCTTTGCTGTCCTCCCACAAGCAGGCAGAGACCTTTCTCTTTAGGCAGGCTTTCCCTCAGCGATTGACTGACTGGGATACAATAAACAGGATAGTTTATATTTTATTGCTTCTAAATCTGTTGGGTTTTCTATAAAGCTTTTACCTGATATTTTTAATACATTTGATATTTGAATAATTTGCTGTTTTGAGCTTTTAATATTGTGTTTTTAATGATGCCTTGGGGTTTTTTTAAGGTGAAAGATGGGGTTAAAGTATGTTGAATAAATAAATAAAAGGGCGGGATGTAACAAGGAAGTCAGGAAACCACTTTTTTATTTGGCAGTGTATTGGGACAGTGAGTGGGTAAACCAGCCTGACCAGCATGTAATATTATCCACCACTGCTTATCTTTTGTTTAACAAAGCTTACTGACCTGTTTAATACAGTATTTGATGTCTTTTTTCCTAGCAAAAGGAAGGATGTCAGTGAGATAATCAGTGTTCACAGGATTTATCCACGAGTAAGGCACCCACTCTGTTAGCAAGGATCTCTGGACACACTAACATAATATTATTCCTGTATTCTATTTTTGAAAAATCAGACAGATTCTTAAGGCTGGCTGATTTTTAAAAATATTATCATTACAACTCCATCATGCATATTCAGTAGATTCTAGAAAGCTTATATGATTAAATTACAAGCATAAATATCAGCTTCCTGTTAAAGTTACAACAAAATAAGCCGCCACAACAGAACAAAACTTAAAATTCCTGCTAGAATCAGGAGCCAGGTATTGTCACTTAGGGGTGGTCTCACTTTTGTCACCAGCAGTTTAGACATTAACCGCTGTGTGTTATGCTATTTTGAGGGCACAGCACATTTACACTGTTATACAAGCTGTATACTCACTGCTTTACATTGTAGCCAAGTTTCATTTCTTTACTGTTGTCATATGAAAATATATACTGTACTAAAATATTCATGAAATATCAGGTGGTGTACTTACTTCTGTGATATACTGTATATTTCCTTTATTATCCACTTAAGTCTCAAAGCAAACTAGGTTTGTTTCCTTTTTTAGGTATGCAGGTCTCTTAATCAGGTTTGCATTAGAGAACTTTGGGACAAAACACGAATATCCAAAAATCATCCTGGACGGAGATGTAAAGGCCAGAGTCTCTTGGTTTAAAGTGAAGCTCCAGAATACAGACGGTTACTTTGTACAACCAGCTTAAGGTTTACTTTAAGGAATGTCTTTCCCCATTTCTATAGACAAAAGGCAACCAGTCATTCAGCTTTTGTCCCATGCTTTGTGTTGAAGTTCACAGCTTCTGTTTGGCTGGTAACAGAGGCATCCAGAAATATGCCAATTCCCATATCAGAAAAGTTGATATGCATTATATTTAGGTCAAATTTAGCTCACATACCAGTAAAGGATATTGCTAAGTTATGAGTATTACAGTGGGGTCTCTACTTAAGAACTTAATCCGTATTGGAAGGTGGTTCTCAAGTTGAAAAGTTCTTATGTTGAATCTGCCTTTCCCATAGGAATGCATTGAAAACCATTTAATCCATATCTGCTCTTCTCCGTCCATAGAAACTACAGTATCCACTATTTAGAGGAAGATACAGTCCTCAGATGGAGGAACCAGCAATTCCTCATTTGTGCTGGACCAGAGTAACCCCAATTGCAACATCTTCATGGCATAACAATTACTATAGTCCACCCTTTGAAATCCTCACAAAATTTGAAATTCTTAATAATGGGATTTAAAGCCTGCCCATGGAAGTCTTAACTGAAATTCCTTATAATGTGAAAGCTGCTCAAGGCTGCTGTTTGAAGCCATGAGTAAACTCTAAAGAAAGAAAAGGAAAAGAACACAAAACTAAAGTCAGACCACTTTAACAAATTTCTTTTTACACTAAAAGGAGAAATTTACGCCTGGGATGGGTCAAACTGTGGCTCACCAGACAGTACTGGACTGCAGTTTCCATTAGCCCTAGGGACTACTGTACATCTAAAAGCAAATAAGCTTGTTGTTATGTACCATCAAGTTGCTTCTTACAGCAATCCTATGAATTAGTACTGTATATTAAGAAAGTCCTATGCTCAACATCTGTGATCAGCTTTCAAGTCATATGTTCCTTTATTGAGTCAATCTACTTTTTTGCTCTTCTTCTTTTCCTGTCACCTTTTCCTGTCACCTTCCTGTCACCTTCAGCTTTTACTAGTTCCTTCAAAGCCATCCTACCAACTCTGTTTTCTCTTGATTTCTTGGCTGCAGTCTCCATTTGCACTGGGTTATTTTAATTGTAAACACTAATATTTCTTCTGTAGACATTTTTGCTTTAATACTCAACTGCTGTTTTTGCATTATTTCACCTTCATTAGTAATAATTTCGAGTTATTGCTGCTTTCTGTCAGTAATATGGTGTTATTTGTGTATATTTTACTCAGAGGTCACCAACCCCCAGTCCACGGCCCAGTGCTGGTCCGTGGCCTGAGCCGGACTGGGCCGCGGAGACATAACCCCAGCCCCCCCGCATGCACTCACCCATGCACAGCTAATTTGTACATGCACGCACGCTCCAACGCGCCTGTGCAAGCACCGCTCCACCATTTGTGCAAGTGCGCATTTGTACATCCACACAAGCGTGGGGGGTGCCTTGCCTCCCCCAGCCGGTCCACAGGGTGAAAAAGGTTGGGGACCCCTGCTTTTACTGTACTGATGTTTCTCTTCCTTCAAATTAATCTAGCCCAGCTTTCTGCAGGGTGTGATCTGCAAACGGTTTGGACATGAAGATAAAATATACCTTTGTCAGACACCTTTGCTTATGGGAAATCATTATTTTTCGTCATATTCTGTTCTAACAACAGCTTCTTGTCTAGAGTACAAGTTAATCAGGTAACTGGGATGATCAAATGTTGAGGCACACCCATTTTTTTAGATCAGTCTATAGCTTCTTATGCATTAAATTGTGGTGCTGGAGGAGGCTCTTCAGAGTCCCATGGACTGCAAAGAGAACAAACCTATTCATTCTGAAGGAAATCAACCCTGAGTGCTCACTGGAAGGACAGATTCTGAAGCTTTGGCCATCTCATGAGAAGAAAAGACTCCCTGGAAAAGACCCTAATGTTGGGAAAGTGTGAAGGCAAGAGGAGAAGGGGACAACAGAGGATGAGATGGTTGGACAGTGTCATTGAAGCAACCAATATTTGACCAAACTCCGGGAGGCAGTGGAAGACAGGAGGGCCTGGCATGCTCTGGTCCATGGGGTCACGAAGAGTCGGACATGACTTAACGACTAAACAACGACAACATAGCTTCCTATGATCCACACAGTTAAAGGCTTTGTTGTAATATATAAGGCAGAATGATTTTCTTCTGAAATTTTCAGTAGCAAAAATATAATTGCAAAAGGATCTCTAGCACCGCTCCTTTTTCTGCATCCAGCCTGTACATCAGCATTTCTCACTCCATATACTGTAGGGTAAACGTCTTTGTTACAAATTCCTAAGCATCACTTGGTTTGCAAGGGAGCTTAATGCAATGGTCCTATAGTGACTATACTCTTTGGAACTCCTTCTTCAGGAATTGAATTGCATAGCAAAAGGACATATCACCAATAGCAAAGGCATCTGAGTCAAACTGTTGCTTCTCTTATTAATACAGTGTCTCTATCTGAAGTGAGAACAGGAGCCACCTGCAGATGACCACTCACAAGCTCAATTAGCATCTGCCTGTGTTTGAGCAGCAACATGGAATACCTGTCAACATAGTCCTCTTCCTTTGGCAGCAAGTCAGTTTGAGGCAGTGACATAAACAGGGAACATTTCTTGTTACGTTTATTTATAAGTTGCATTTGCATCCCAACTTTTTTTCACTGGCCCTGGACTACAGTGCACATGGGGCTTTTCTATCAACTGTAACCTCATAGTCAGCATGTTAGGTAGATCAGGCTGTGACTTACCTACGGTCACCAAATGAGTGTCACAACAGAGTGGGGTTTGAATCCATTTCTCAAGATTCACAGCGAAACATTTTTATTGTTAAATACTGTCTCTATTATGCACCGTTGCCAAGGAGAAGAGGAAGAAACATTGAAGAAGATGCACATAAGGTTCAAGTTCTGTATAAAACTGGAACTTTTCTTTGCCTGTTACATATTTTGAGAAAGACATATCTCAGAAAGAAATTAATAATACAACTATTCCCCTCTCCCACAACCAATATATCTTACTAATTTTATAGGGGATATCAAACAGTTTTGGTGACTGCACTACCTATTCTGGAAAAGAGAAGAAACTGCATTCAAGAATCCACAATACAAAAAAGGAAAGGAGAGGGGGCTGAAAAGAGGGGAACAAAAAGAACAAAAATGAAGATGTTTTCCTCCACCATGAATCTGCTTGTCTCTTGACATCTAAGAAACTGCTCCTTTCTTCACCTCTGTATGAAATACATTGTGAATCAGAGACCAAAGTTTCTTTGTGATGATCCCAGCCTCTGGAATGTTGAGAAAGACAAGTTAACCTGTCTCTATCACTGTTCACTTTTTGTTGTTGTTATGTAATGTCAAATCAGTCTGGACTTAGGATGATCCTATGAATGAGCAGTCTCCAAAATGTCTTGTCCACCATTACCCTGCTCAGCTCTTGTAAATTCATGCCTGTGGTTCCCTTAGGGAGTCAGTTCATCTCATATTTTGTCTTTCTCTTTCCCTGTCACCCTCAACCTTTCCCAGCATTGTTTTTTTTCCCCTAGAGAATCCTGCCTTCTCATAACGTGCCCAAAGTTGGACAGCCTCAGTTTGAACTTTTTTGCCTTGAGAGATAGATCAGGCTTTTCTGATCTAAGATGCACTTGTTTTTCTGACTGCCCAGAGTCTCTGCAAAGCTTTCCTCCAGCACTACTTAACTTCTTCAACTGGGTTAGGATTACAACTAATCCCGGCCAGGAGCAAGGTAAGAAAAGAGTTTCCATTAAATGTCCTGGCTTGTTGAGAGTCAGGCTCCAATGATAATAAAGCTATACCCCATGGGTCTGCCATGCCTTCTTGCCCAGGGGTCTTCCTAGTGGTTGGTGGAAGACTGTCTGTTTAGGATTGGTCCCATGGTGAGACCTATTTGGTTCTCTGTTGTGGGCTTCTTTTTCTCTCTGTTCTTGCTCTTTATTTCTCCTTTCCTCTCTGCCATCTTGCCCCAGTATGGAGGTTTACGCACCAGTTTGCTTCACCATTCTTTTTTGGCTACCTCTCGGGCACCTTAAGTTGGACACACTCCCCAGTCCAAGGAACCTCTTTTACCAGGCAACCCAGTCATGTTCAGGGAAGTCTGTTCTCAATATCCTTTTCTCTTTCCCTTTGCTCTGTCTCACTCCTCCACCTTACTCTTCTGACCAACCTCCAGTCCATTCTTTCCTCCTTTTATCTTCCTTCTCTCTGCCAAAACAACCTCCCCCTAGCAGTTTCTCAATTCCTGGGTTTTCCTCTTCCTTCAGTTTAGCAATCCCGTGCATGCCTTTATTTATGACACATCTCCTTCAACATTTCTGTTTCAGGAGATAGCACACGGATGGGAAGGGTCTCCTCCCCATCCCTTTTCTCACATGGTGTCATCTGAATATCTTAAATTATTGATGTTCCTTCCACCAATTTGCACCTTCCTCTGAATCTGGTCTGGTTTCTGTGTGATATGTTCTGCATACAGACTGAATATATGAGGGTAAAATGCTCCCGTTTGACTCCTTTGGCTAGAGGAAAACATTGTCTCTTTTGGTATTCTGTCCTAATGGTAGCTTCTTGCCCACAATACATGTTACTTATCAGACCAATCAAGTGCTGTCATAGGCATTCTTCAGTCTTGAGAGATTATGGTAACGTGTTCTGTATGGAGGACTTCGGCGCTGTATGCAAAGCTGGAATGTCCTCTCCAGAGCACGAAGCCTGGGTAAAACAATATGGAGGATAGGCTGTTACCCAAGCATCAAGTGCTGAGTCTCACTCATTTCTTCAGAACTGAGTTTCTCACAATAAAAGGCTTTGCTGTAGTGTATAAGGCATAGACTGATCTATTCTGAATTTTTTTGTGCTCTCCAGTAGCCAGCAGAAATCTGCAATATTATCTTGAGCATCCCTTCCTTTTCAGAATCCAGCTTGAATATTTCTTTCTGCATATAAGGTAAGAGCCTTTGTTGAAACACCTTGAGCATTACTTTGCCTGCATGGGAAATTAAAGCAATGGCCCTATAAATACTGTACTCTTTGGCAACTCCTTTCTTGAGGATTGGAATGTATATTGAGCATTTATGTGGGCCATTATATTGTTTTCCATGTTTGTTGACATATTCTTGTTAGTATTTTGACAGATTCTCTGCAGCTTGAAAAATATTCTATTGGTATTCCATCTACCCTGGTGATTTATTTCTCCCTAGTGCTTTCAAAGCAGCTTTCACTTCACTTTCTTGAACTTCAGGGTCTTCATCATAGGATTCCTCTTCAAAGGAGTCTGTCATCCTTTTTTCTGTATAGATATTTCCACATTCTTTTTATTCTAACCTGGTCAGATAAGTGTGCTTTCCTGTTGCTCATTCATTAATTTTTGATCTAGACTTGAATTTCCCTTTAATTTCTTGGATCTTCTGGAGCAAATCTCTTGTTTTTTCCCTTTTGCTGTCTTCCTCTGTTTCTTTGCACTTGTTATTGTAGTAATTCTCTACTACAGTGACAGTCGTTAGTAACCTGTGTTCAGAGTTCTGACCCTACTTCTGTCACGTTTAACTTTTGCTCCTCATCCGTCCTTTGTTACTTCAATCATCCATCTAGGTTTTTTTCTTTTTACTACAGGAACTGCCTTTTTGCTTTCTTCCCTTTCTGTTTGTTGACTCCTAACAGAGCCCAGCAGAGGGATAAAACTGAGACAGATCCCAGGGAGCAAGCAAACAAAAATTTGGTGGTGGAGGCCCCTAATTTTTTTCTAATTTAGTTTCAATCTGGGCAGTCTAAATGTTCTGAAGTATTCCATACCACAGTAGGAAAATGGGAGAACTTCTGCAAATCACAAGCAACTAGCAAGTTACCTTGTTAAATTAACAAGGAAAAATTTTATCAGTATTTCAAGAAATCCTGTTGTTCCATAACTTTATTTTATTCTTAAAAACTGATTATTCATCTTTCATTGTGTGCCACTTATTCAATATCGTGTTCAATTTTTTAACTTGTTTTAGTCCCCAAACATGAATACATACTGCATACACACACAGATAAGGCTGTGACATCACTAATGCTATCAAATGTGACTCAAATATGGTTTATCTTCAATTTCCGAATGAATGGGCAAAGAGATAAGTCATATTCAACCATTTCCTCACTAATTAAAAAAACTATTCATAATTGGTTGTCAGAATCAACAAAAACATGATTCCTAATTTGATAGGGAGACAAGTTTTTGTTGTCTTCTATTGCTGGTAGTTGTTAGAGGTATTACACTGTTTATTGTCTTCTTCCACTTACAAAGACCTTTGAGTGCACTCATCTTCAGAAAGAGACAGCATGCCACATTAAGGCACTGTATGCATCTTGTTTCCTAGCCCTTCCAGTAAAGTCTCTGGGGGATGTTCCGTATTGGTACTACTCTGGTTTTGCAGTATAATACAGTGGTGCCTCGCATTACATTAATTCGTTCCAGCGAAATCGCTGTAGAATGAAAACGTCGTAATGCGAAAAAAAACCCCATTGAATCCCCTTCAATGCGTTCCAATGGGCTGGAAACTCACCGTCCAGCAAAGATCCTCCATAGGGCGGCCATTTTCAGAGGCTGTCTTGCGAGGAATCCCTCCGAGAAAACAGCAGGGAGCCATTTTATTTACCCGGTGGCCATTTTGAAACTGCCGATCAGCTGTAGGAAAATCGTCATTTTGCAAAGAATCAGTTCCCGAAGCAGGGAACCAATCATCGCAAAGCGAAAAAACCCTATTCAGACCATCGTTTTGCGATTGCAATTGCAAAAATATAGTCATAATGCGGTTTCGTCGTAATGCAGGGGAACCGTAAAGCGAGGCACCACTGTATGCAGTTAATTTTTTTTTTGAAGGTACCATAATTCAAGCATGCTTAGGCAGCACAACTTCAGATTTGGAACCCTTTTCTCCTAAAATATGCAACTGAATAAAGTTTGGCAGTACAGTATTTATTCAGAGAAATAGAAACACATTCCATATCTTACGTACATTTTGTCTTTCAAGAGGATGTTGCGTATGGAAGGGCAATCTTTTCAGGAGTACATCACAGGACAGGTTTGCTACAGTTGCAGCACTCACATCAACTGTTTATGTATACTGGAAGACTTTATAAGTAGCTGTTAAGTAGACCTTTATAAGCCACTGCTTAAGTATTTCTGGAACTGTTGCTAGTATTGTCTCTCCGCAATCATTGTCCTGGCACACACATTGCTCTCTGTGTAAGAGAGAGCAAGAGAGTACATTTCCATACGTATGTACAAATGTCTAAACATGTTTTTTTCATTTCTAGAAAGTTATCAAACCCATTTCATTATTGTTGTCATTTTTAGTCCTAGATTTGATTCACATTAGCTGTACTTTGCACAAAAGGCAATGATATTCAAGAGAGGGTCTTTCTGGAAAATGTGGGCAAGGATGAAATCTTTACCAGAAAACTCCACCAACACCTTGCATTTTCAATGGTGCTCTAGTTTCCACAACAGCTCCTTGGCAGGCACAAGTGGAATGCAAAGGGAAGTGGGAATCATGAAGGTCACTGTCCTGCCCACTAAATCCAATAGCAGCAAGCAATGCTATGCAATCTTGCAGCCCATTATTACTATGTTTCTTTACCAACAAGTCTCACTGTATTAAGTAGGATTCATTTTTGAGAAAGCATGAATAGTGGTTTTTATACACTTTTACAAATATATCTAACTACAACAAATAACTACATAATGAAGGAAAATTTGTGGCAAATATTTCAAAACCAAGTGGGATGAAAAATGCACAGACACAGGGATTCACTGATTCAGTTTTAATGAATGAAAGCAAGGTACACAATTTAAGTGCACCATAAAAAGTGTTCCTCATAAAAAGAACAAACAGAAAAAGTCTGTCTCTGCATCTTGAATGCTTCATGAGTGCAGGTATAGACATTTATTTTCTTTACCAACAACAAGAAAAGAACTATATACTTACCAATCTGCCAGGTTTGAAATTAGCTCTCTCATTTTCTGGTACCACTGGTGTCCGCAGGACTACATAATTTGTGTTCATATGATCAGAATAAGGTTAAGGGCCCCTTGCGGTATCTGAACTAACAAAATACTTCAATAGTTGAGCTCACTGTGGTGATAAACATGAACTGCTTATTTATACTATGTAGGGTTATTTACAAAAACAAATGCACTTCTGTATCAACAGCTCCCCTCCCCCAAATTTAGAAAACATAGTTTTGAAATATGATCAGCACAGTGATATTTAATAGTAGTGAAATGCCTTTGGATGAATTACAGCAGCTATAATTTATAATTGTACTGGCACTCATAGTACCAAGACTGTAACTGTGTAAGTACTTAACTGTAAAGTTATTAGTTTATGTGAAGTGGGATCCCTCAACCCAAGGGGTATAACCAAAAACTGTATCAAGTCATGTTCCTACTACTTCACATAAGATAACCATACACTCAGGTGCCCATGTAGCTTGGAATCCTGGTGACATCTGCATGAACACAGAATCATTATCATGGAACCTTCCTTAGAACCAGGAGAATTTAAAAGAACTTGCTACAACCTAAGACATACATTTCCTTTGCAAGTAAATTCTTTTAAAAATACCGTATTTTTCGCTCCATAAGTTTTGCAAGTAAATTCTTTTAAAAATAAGCACAATTATAAAAAATGGGCTATGTTAAAGAAAGCGTATTTTGCTTTTGAATGTTTATAATTTTTCTTGCAGGTGAAGAAAACATGAAAATAAAATGGGCTATGTTAAAGAAAGTGTATCTTGCTTTTTGAATGTTTATAATTTTTCTTGCAGGTAAAAAGTATGTTAATCTTGGGCAATATATAACTTTTCACAGGTGGCTCAGGTCAACAAAAGCACAATATTAAACACAGAGTACTGATAACCTTACTCTTGTGACTTTACTATGCAAAAATGGAAATGTATAGAGATGCCAGTGTTTGTACAGTATGACTCTTGACTTCTAATAAAATGAAACCAAGACATACTATAAAACTGAATTCCTACTTGTCCATCAAGGGGCTAATAGTGCTTAAAAACAGAGTAAAAATGTGTCGATGGCTAAAATCCTGCTGCTTTGTGTAGTAAGTTGCACTAAAGTAGGTCTCCTGAATCAGTGAGGATTTTGTGAGTCAACTGCTCTGCAAGGTCCAATGATTCAAATGGGTCTACTTTACCTGCAACTTACTTTAACGTAGTCACAAGTAGAACAGGTCCATTTGAATCAACTGCACTTATGGAGGTGATTCACCAAATCCCCAGTGATTTAGTTCAGTGGGCATATTCTAGCACAGGGGTCAGGGAACTTTTTTACCTTTTACCCCCCAAAAAATTTATATACACCGACATTACCCCCTTGATTTGAAAGGAAGGAAATCATACATTATTTGAATTCAAAATATTATTGAATCTACACAGGCTGTGTCCCGGACTAGCAGGATATATCATTTTTTTATTTGATTTATCCCCCGCCTATCTGGACCGATGGACCACTCTAGGCGGCTTCCAATATAAAATTAAACAATAAACTACAACAGATACATAGCTAATACAAAACAACTAGAATAAACTAATAAATAGGAAAATAAGAAGAAGAGTATCAAGAATTGGCTGGAGGGAAGGCCTGAATAAATAACCATGTTTTTAATTGGGTTTTGAAGATGCCCAGTGTAGGGGCCGCACGAATTCCCGGAGGGAGATTGTTCCAAAGGCGAGGAGCCACCGCCGAGAAGGCCCGGTTTCGTGTCTTCTCCTTCCGGGCCTCTCTCGGCGTCAGGCTCCTCAGCCTCACCTCCTGACTCACGCGGGTGATCCGGGTAGACCTTGGTGGAAGGTCTATCAGTATCAATGACTGCCAGGCTATGTATCAAAATAGCAGGATGCACCAAATTTAATAAAGATGTGCACTATTTTTGCTAGAACACATTGCACTCTAGCCATGGGGTGGTATAGGGAGTAGTAAGGTGTCCAACGTGCCTAGCAAGTTGCATTAAATTTATACTAGTTCGCAGAAATGGGTGCCAGAGTGGTGCTAGCAATGACATGCTTGCTAGAGACTGCCAAGGCAGTTTTGGGGGGGCTTTTCCTACCACTTTAATCATTCTGTGTGTGGTGTGCAAAAAGGAACAAACCAGGCTAAAGGTCATGTGACCCACCCTGGTGCAACAGCCCAATATCAAAGGACCAGTGCGTTATTTTTTTTAAAATCACCATCAATGGAAAACTCAGAGGTGGCCAAAAGATTGGAAAAGATCAGTCTACATTTCAATCCCAAAAAAGGGCAGTGCCAAAGAATGACCCAACTACTGTACAATTGTACTCATTTCACAGGTTAGCAAGGTTATGTTCAAAATCCTACAAGGTAGGCTTCAGCAATATGTGAAGAACTCCCAGAATATGAGAACTCCCAGAAGTACAAGCTGGATTTCGAAGGGGCAGGGGAAATTTCCCTCCTCCTGCCTGTGGTCACCTCTGGTGGAAGCAGTCATTCACAAGTTGGATTGACTGGCCAGGGCTGTTCTACAGCTGTAACCAATTAAGCCACCTTATCTCCGATCTCTAAAAGAACAAAGGATTTACAAGTGCCACAACCAAGGAAGGAGGGAGAGGTGGTTTCCAGTTTGAGGTTCAGCTGTGGGGGGTGGGAGTGGGGGGTAGCACTCTGCTCATTACCCCCAGGATTTTTTTACCCCATTTGAGGTGATTTACCCCTGTTCCCTGACCACTGTTCTAGCAGAATTACCTACACTAAGCAATAAGATTTCAGCCAACATGTTATCAAATAAATGTAGCTATATTTTAAAGCTTAGAAGCATTTTCACCAATGTCATGTATCTATAAGCATGACGCAAACAAAGCTTGTCTTTCACACCTAATAACAGAAGCCAGTACCGCTTACAGGTGTGGCCTATACCAAAAGAAAGGATAGCATACCTAAAACCACTGAAATAACCCATGAAAAAAAAGGACATAATTAAATTCAAGTAAAAACAGAAACTAAGTGCTAGCTTAGCTCTCAGTCCACCAAAGCTACTTCAAACAGGAATGCTTTAAGAGGCATTCTAAAGTTGTTTGGGTGGGTGTTTTAGCAAGTTTAATGAGGGAAGTTCCATTACTATGGTGTAACTACTGCTGTCTGAACACTGTATGGAAACAGCATTAAGATGGAGATTTTAAATGAACATGAGTGGCAGCAGTTTCACACATTTGGAGAAATTACTGGTGTATATGAGTGCACCAATATAATTCAGCATTCCATGTCAAGTCAAAAAATAAATCCCCCAAACAAAAAATGGTAATTTTGAAACTGGACCTCAGACCAGCAACAAATTGGGCACTGATACGGCATCTGCTCTTGCTCTGAGCCAAATGTGAGGTTGTTTGGACAAAGCTTTCCAAGTTATGATTTTTTAAAGGTACACTGTTTTACTCCTGTGAAGACGCTGGTGACCTTTTGTACCAGCAATTTAAAACAGACCAAATACATTGAAAAGACCAAACATGCTTACCTTGAAAGAGAATGGTGAGTCCCAGCCCCCCTCTTATTTAATTTGGAAGGAATTCAGGCATCCAGGGCTCTAATACTGACTTTGAAAATACCCATTTTAAATGGAGAGACAATCTGAACTTCTGGGCTTTCGTATAAACCCCAACATTCTAACATCAACAAAAAGCTTAAGGGGCTTGCTTTTTCAATGATGACCAAGAGAAAAACGTTTAACTTATTCCTGGCCGAACAATTAACTCCTTCCCATAAAAATATTTAAGTTTTTAAAAAAATATTCAGAAATGCATTAATTTAAACTGAAATTAGTGTTTTTTTGCTTTGTGGCTGGGGATAGTCTGCATCTGTATTAGCAGCTTGGGTGCCTATTCCACTCATCCTGTCACTATACAACTGTTTGGTAATTAAGAAAAAAACTCTAGATGCTACATGCTAACAAGTCATTTCTGATGTGTGACTATGAGTTAATGACTGCCAAAATGTCCTATTGTTACCAGCTGTGCTCATATCCTGCAAACCAACAGCATCTCACGTTAGGTTGCTCTCTCTCTTCCTACTGCCCCTCGTTCCAAACAATATTGTCTTTTCCATCAAGTTCTGCTCAGATTTCGTAAACGAAGAGCTGCGGCTTCCTGTATTGAAACAACCCATCTCATGTTAGACCGTCCTCTTTGTCTATTGCTCTCCCCCCGCCCTTTTCTAAGCAATATAGTATACTGTGGTCACTTCTGTATTTCCATTATATGCACATGGTGAGATAGGCTCAGTTGACTCATTTTTGCTCTAGTAAGAGTCACTTGACTGAGCATGCACTTTTCTGGATGTATTTAGTATCTATATGTTTCTCTTCCAACTCCACATTTTAAATGAGTCTTTCTTCACTATCTTTCACATAGCTAGGATGATTTTGACCTTGGCTTCCACTGACATTCTTTCTAAACTCCAGCCTCTTCCTTTTTTATTTCAGAAAGCAAAGGGACAGAAGCCACTGGCAATGGTAAGGCTAAAAAATATTGTAAATAAATAAATATTTTGAAAAACAGGCATACATGTTTGTAAAGCTTTTGATCTGATACACTCTTTCTTCTTCAGCTTAACCTTCAGGCTGTCCTTTGCTATGTAAAGCTTGGCATCCTTTCTCCTACAGGCAATGCCCGCATGATACTGTGCGGCAATATTGGCCCATTTCCTGGCTTTTTGAATTGTGGGTACATAAATGCAATATCCCACATTCATAAAATGGAAAGGGTGTTTTTTGTTTTGTTTTTTGAAGAATAGACTAAAAAAGGAACACCTAAGCTATGGGCGGTATATTGTTATTACATGCTGTCAAGTTATCTCTGACTTATTGCTACCTTATGAATGAGTGTTCTCCAAAAGTCCTGTCTTCAACAGCCCTGCTCAGTTCTTACAAACTCAAGCCTATGGTTTCCAGCAGGGAGTCAACTAATCTTGTATTTGGTTTTCTTCTTTTCCTGCTGTAGGGAGTCAACTCATCTTGTATTTGGTTTTCCTCTTTTCCTGCTATCTTCAATCTTTCCCAGCATTCTTTTCTTTTCCTGATATTCTTGCCTTCTCTCGACACGTCCAGCCTTTCATTATTTTTGCATCTGATAGGTCAGGCTTCATTTGTTCTAGGATACACATGCTTGTCTTTTTTGGCAGTCTGGGGTATCCACAAAATCTCTTCCAGCACCATATTTCAAACAAATCAGGTTTTTTGTCAGCTTTCTTTACTGTCCAGGTTCCACACCAATATACAGTATGGTGATTGGAAATACAAGAGTGTGAGTCTTAGGCAGTACATACATTACCTGAACTGTTTAAATGACTCCCAACAGCTTTTATGCGTTCCTTTTAGAGGTTGTTAGGGAAATATTATTCAGCGAAACTGACTAGACACAGCAGTAGCAAATCAAAAATACAGAGACATGCAGTTCCAATAAAACAAATACATTTTTGTACAAACCACCAGTTTCAGCAAAAAAACACTGAAGAAACATAATATATATAAATAATAAGACAAAGAACACTTGACACTGAGAGCTAGCTGAAGAGTGAAGAGACTGTCTAAAATAATTTCTACTCTTTAATGTGTAGAA